GAAAAAAAAAAAAAAAAAAAAAAAAAGATACATGCACCCCTATGTTCATAGCAACACCATTCGCAATAGCCATGACATGGAAACAACCTAAATGTCCATCGAAAGATGAAAGGATAAAGAAGACGTGGTATATATATACAATGGAATACTATTCAGCCATAGAAAAGAACAAAATAATGCCATTTGCAGCAACATGGATGCAACAAGAGATTATCATACTAAGTGCAGTAATTCAGAAAGAGAAAGACAAATACCATATGATATCACTTACATGTAGAATCTAGAATATGGCAAAAATGAACCTATCTACAAAACGGAAATAGACTCAGAGACTTGTGGTTGCCAAGGGGGAGGGTGAGAGGCAGAGGGATGGACTGTGAGTCTAGGGTTGGTAGATGCAAACTATTACATTTACAATGGATAAACAACAAGGTCCTACTGTACAGCACAGGGAACAATATTCAATCTCCTGGGATAAACCATAATGGAAAAGAATATTAAAAAAGAATGTAGGGCTTCCCTGGTGGCGCAGTGGTGGAGAGTCCGCCTGCCGATGCAGGGGACGCAGGTTCGTGCCCCAGTCCAGGAGGATCACACATGCCAGAGTGGCTGGGCCCGTGAGCCATGGCCGCTGAGCCTGCGCGTTGGGGCCCTGTGCTCCACAACGGGAGAGGCCACAGCGGTGAGAGGCCCGCGTACCGCAAAAAAAAAAAAAAGGATGTATATATGTATATAACTGAGTCACTCTGCAGGGCAGCAGAGATTGGCACATGTAAATCAACTATACTTCAATTAAAAAAAAAAAAAAACAACCAAAAAAAACAGCGTGCTATTGCCATAAGGACAGACAGATGGACCAATGGAATAGAATAGAGAGCCCAGAAATAAACATTCACGTATATGGTCAACTGAGTTTTGACAAGAGTGCCAAGACCATGCAATGGAGAAAAGACCATCTTTTCAACAAACGGTGCTGGGTAAACTGGATATCCAAATGAGAAAGAATGAACCTTTCCCTTACACCATGTATAAAAATCAGCTCAAAATAACTCAAAGACCTAAACCTAAGAGCTAAAACTATAAAACTCATAGAAGAAAACACAGGGGGGAAAAGCTTCACGATGTTAGATTGGCAATGATTTCTTGGATACGACATCAAAATACAGGCAACAAAAAGAAAAAGTAGATAAACTGGACTTTATCAATTAAAACCTTTTTGAAAGAATACTATCAAGAGAGTGATAAGGTGAGCCACAGAATAAGAGAAAACATCTGAAAATGATATATCTGATTAAGGATTAATATCCATAATGTATAAAGATCTCCTATAACCCAACAACAGCAAAATAAATAATCCAATTCAAAAATGGCCAATGGACTGGAATTAACTCATTCTAAGGGCCATAATGCTTTGTGTGACACATAAAGCATGGACACAAAGAGATCAATAAAGATAAACCTTAATGCTGGCAGCTATCTAAAACAGACCCATCAGTCATATATCCAAAATTTTCTATGAATGCCTTTAATCTGAATCTATTTTGGTATTCTAATTCAGAAAATTACCTAGGAATAATAAGTAAACTCTCATACATTATCAGAAGCAGGTGTTATCATTTTATTTTGATTTGCCAGCTCTATGTGCTCGCCTGGTTTCTAGATTTCAAAAGGTAGCAAGAAACATTTACCCATTAGGGATCCTTCATTTTCCTTCCCCTCCATACTTCACTAACTTGCCGGATAAAGATTTCCTTCAATTTACTATGAATCACGTGAATTTCTTGTTTAAAAACAAGAAACTACTAAGCAACTTAAATTTACAGAAGGTTGATAGTGGTTTGCTCTAAATTCATACTGGGCACTCACTTCCATTATAAATTTCTACTTAAAATTTGAAAAAATACTTTGTCTCAAAGGACCACTATATACTTACCAACTGAAGATAGAAATCAGTAGGACTATTTATATGACAAACCGTAACTGCAACATCTGTCATTTCCTTAGGCAAAAGAGGTGGATGATAGTGTAAAGTCGTATTTTTTTCAGAGTGACTTCTTGGCAACTGAGACCTAAACCTAATTAAAAGCGTAAGCAAGAGCCGTTAAGTCTCTCTTCTCTCAGTGAAATCATCTGAAGAAAGGACTTACACACATACTGATTTATCTACCAAGAGTATTTTTCCAACTTCTCTCTTCTAACTTACAACATTTCTTAGTATTGTCTCCAACTATCAAACCAGGATAAATAAGAGGTCAAGTCTCAAAACTCAATAATTAACCTTCAAGTTTGTGCTGGAACATTTGTGAGTTGGGCCTGTATGTTCTACTCAAAGTTTCTACTCTTTTGGTTGACAATACCCAGCATCTATGGTAGCAATCAGAAAGGCCAGCTGAGGGGTTTCTGTGACCCCTTTCAGCTCCAATAAAACTTAAGTTTTATTTTTCCAGAATGGAATCTATTTGGGTCACTTCCAGAGTCGTGTAATTGCTCAGGACAGAAAGTAGTATCTTCCATTATCTCTGTGGTTACTTAGTCATCTTACTTTGTTCAGCAGAGATGAGAAAGGAGAGAAATTTAAGTATCTACTCTAGATTCATACATTAAATATAGAGTGATGATCATTATCTTATTCCAAAGGTTAGAAAATGTAAGAACTGTTAAACTGTAATTCTTGACACCCTAGTGGAGCTACTTGTCCGTATCTGCCAATCGTTTCTATTTTGAGCTACCTTAATTTTTCTATTTCCTTAAATCAAATGATCTGAATGCAATTTTCACAGACAACCGTACTTAGAAAACTGACAGCAATATTTTTAACCTCTTCGAGTATGTTAGGATGTCCCTGGTGGTCTAGTGGTTAGGATTTGGTGCGCCCTCTTAGTGTATGTTACAGTTCACTTTAGGGCCCCTTTTTTTTTTTTTGGCGGTACGCGGGCCTCTCACTGTTGTGGCCTCTCCCGTTGCGGAGCACAGTCTCCGGACGCGCTGGCTCAGCGGCCACGGCTCACGAGCCCAGCTGCTCCGCGGCACGTGGGATCCTCCCGGACCGGGGCACAAACCCGTGTCCCCCACGTCGGCAGGCGGGCTCCCAACCACTGCACCACCAGGGAGGCCCCAGAGCCCATATTTTTTAAAGGTAAAATCTGCTGTTCCAATTTATAGCTATAACCTTGAAAATATTAACATTTTAATAAGTTACCTACCTTGCTAGTTCCATAAAAACTAATGCATCTCTAAGAGACACAGGCATATCACTGCTTATTTTATTTGCTGGTGGCTTCTGCAGATCTACAATTAGCACGCCATCTTCTTCTTTAAAAACTTTCATCAAAACAGCCTTCTTATTTACCATTTTCAAAAATTCTATTTTAGCTTCTTCTCCCCAGCCTTCAGTCTGTGGAAAAAGTAAAATTCCAATGTATTCAGTAATTATGATTAGCTCTAATGGTACAATGTTGTAGATTTAGCTTTCTAACAGCCAAAGCCTGCAAATTCGAACAAAGGCACTTAACCAACCAAAGATATTTCGAAGCAGCTGGGCCCACAAACCCAAGGACAGTCTTTATGTATGCACAATGTACGGATCACACTTAGATTTTATAAACATGGTCTCAAGGTGACCATAAGCTGTTGCACTTCAGGACTTAGTTTTACTTCTGAATATTAATATCAAGATAATAAATAAAAGTTTAAAAATAAAACAACTATTATATACGAATTTTCCACTTAAACAATGAAATCCAAAAGGTAATTTTGAAAGCATGATGGAAGCCATGTAGTACATTAAAGATATTTACAATCATTACCAGGTAACTTAGTTTCCATTACTAGCAATATATGAGGTAAATGCTACTTAAACAATAAGGAAAAATACCCACTGAAAAGAAAATTTCTCACTGAACTTTGAAACTTTAAGTACTCATACCTAAAGTAAATTTCACAGGCCAAAACTACACATTCCTTAAAAATAAAACATCTAAAGATTTTGTACTCGAGTATAAAAGTAAAGCCCACTCAGAATAGAAAAGGCAAAAAGGGCTTCCCTGGTGGCGCAATGGTTGAGAATCTGCCTGCCAATGCAGACAACACAGGTTCGAGCCCTGGTCTGGGAAAATCCCACATGCCATGGAGCAACTGGGCCCGTGAGCCACAATTACTGAGCCTGCGCGTCTGGAGCCTGTGCTCCGCAACAACAGAGGCCGCGATAGTGAGAGGCCTGCGCACCGCGATGAAGAGTGACCCCCACTTGCCACAACTAGAGAAAGCCCATGCACAGAAATGAAGACCCAACACAGCCATAAATAAATAAATAAATACATTGTGTATAAAAAAAAAAAAAAAAAAAAAAAAAAAAGATAAAATTAAAGCCAAAATAATTTTCCCATTTTGAGGAAAATACCAGGGCTATTATGTTTACGTGTTTCCTTTTACTTTTTTATTCATTTCATTCTTTCAAATATTTGCTGAATGCCTACTACGTGCTCAGTGATTTGCTAAGTGTTGGAATACAAAGATGAGCAAAGGTGCAGACTCCTGCTTTCACAGACTTTATAATAATATAACTGCTTAATAAGTATTTTTACACACAATTTCTGTCTCATAGGAGTTTTAAATCTTTCTGGGAAATAAATATTCATTAATAACACAAAGCAGAATGCAATATAGGCTATAAGCAGTGAGCAAAGGGCCATGGAAATAGTGAAGAAATGAATGGAAACACATACCACATAACATTTAAAATTTATTTTTCTCTCCATATTTGACTCCAAAATTTTATGGTTTACTTGGATATTTCACCTATCATCATGTTCATATATGCATATCCAACTCAATTTCCCATTAAGAACGATTCTAATTGTAGAAACTGAAGTTCATTTCCTTTTTTACTGGCACCAATAGTTTATTATACAAAATGTATTTAACAAGAGAACTGAACTTACATTCAGTAATCTGATCAGCAATGCATAGCTAAAACTGGACTATTTGGCCCCTGAATAAGAAATAATTTAAGTCTCACTTACTGAATTCTGTGGAACAATGTCTTTCAATGAGCATGGCTGTGCTAATGGCTGGATGTCTTTCAGCAGCCCTTCAATATATGGCTCAGACTTCCTCAGAGCCAGACACAAGTCATTTAGTGCAACATGCTGCTTAGCAATGTGTTCTGATCTCACATAAGTATCACCAACTCTGGGAAGAATTCAAGCAATATTTACTGAAAATAATGCTTCAAGCCCAAACTTGCCTTACCCCACAAAAGGTATGCATTTCTAAGGATACTCTTTAAGTTAAATCTTCTAGGAGGTTATACTCTTTTAAAAATTTATTTATTCATTTATTTTTACATCTTTATTGGATTATAATTGCTTTACAATGATGTGTTAGTTGCTGCTGTATAACAAAGTAAATCAGCTATACATATACATACATCCCCATATCTCCTCCCTCTTGCGTCTCCCTCCCACCCTCCCTATCCCTCCCCTCTAGGTGGTCACAAAGCACCTAGCTGATCTCCCTGTGCTATGCAGCTGCTCCCCACTAGCTATCTATTTTACACATGGTAGTGTATATATGTCGATGCTACTCTCTCACTTCGTCCCAGCTTACCCTTCCCCCACTGTGTCCTCAAGTCCATTCTCTACGTCTGCATCTCTATTCCTGCCCTGCCACTAGGTTCATCAGTACCATTTTTCTAGATTCCATATAAATGTGTTAATATACGGTATTTTTCTCTTAGAAAGTTATATTCCGATTTATACTATCTCACTATATAGATTTAATCTAGCTTTTATAAACACAGACACTGTTTCTACCTATAGAAATAAATCTCAACTGCTTTCATCTGGATTGTCTTTCATATACCTATTTGGTTTAAATTTAAAAGGCATCATGACACCCCCAAACAGAAATCTATTTATAAAGCTATGACCGCTTAATAAAGGGACCATGCAAGAGTTAATACTGGTCCTTACTAGAAGAACATTTTCAGTTTGTTCTATTTTCCTAGAAGACTGAGGGAAACAGTTTTGAACACCTAGAATTAGACACTATGGCACTTTAACATACAATAATGAAATTATGGACATATGATTAAAAATTTTACTCAATCATCTGGCAACTAACTGTAACATTTTACTTAAAAGAACCATTTTTGTGCTTCATTTCCTGCGTTGAGGCTATATAGAAGAGCATTTAAGTTTGAAACATCAGAAAGTTCCTTTTCCAAGCTCCCCATCTAGTAACACTGATAGCTAATACTTTACTCATTTAGTAATTGGTAAGACAAATTACAGAGCAAAATAAAAGGTATATGCCTTGAAGTGAAGAAGGATAACTTATTCCTCTACCTCTTCCTACTTTTCTTTCTTCTTTAGTATCTCCCCCCCTCCCCCATCACAAGTGTTTCTAAGCAGACCAGGAACACATAGTAATTATAAAATAACATACCCTGCAACAATTAGGACTTCAGAATTTCCAAAATCTACCATGAATATTTGTATTAGTGCAACTTTGTGGACTGAGAATTTGGTTTGAATACAAGGTTTTCTAATACTTTCACTTCCTATTGGAATTAATTCAGTAATAGTTCCTCGACACCACATTCCATTTTCAATACTGTTGACAAATATTCTTGCACCTAAATGATGGAGACAAATCATTATGTTTATGAAGAAGAATATCTAATTAGCTCTAATTTACAAACATGTACGTTAGTTCCACCACTAAGAATTAATTAATTTATTAACTGATGATACAGTACTGTGTCAAGTGCTATGAGAGGGATTAAAAGGTAGTGTATTTTGGCAGTTTCTGTTATACAGAAACTTATGTCCTAGACGGGGAGGTAAAAACAAAGAAAACAAAGCCAGCAGTCCTTTACTGAGGACCTGTGTTTTATAAACTATAACAAAGATGAGTAAGACCGTCCTGCTATCAAGAAGCTCAAGAAAGGAAAGGAGACAGGCAAGTAAGTGACTATAATACACTGTACTTATAACAATAAAGACCTATCCTTGTGCATGTACACACATGCAAGTACAGATATATAGATACTGAAATCTATAAGATACTTTAGTAGCGTAAAGGAAGCAGCAATGACATTCTCTTGGTAAAAGGGGAGTGAAAGTAAAGAAACCAAGAAAGGGAGAGTGTGAAAGGCCAAAATGAAGAAATTAATACACAATGGAGTTCAAAGAAGGGGAAGATGAACCAAGGACCAAGCAGCAGAGGAAGACCTTATGGTCCTCCCTTATAGAGGGATCAGATAAATTACAAATTAATAACCAGAAAAAAAGATCCAGTTAGAAAGAATTTTTATTTTTACTATAGGCTCAGCAATGTTCTCAGTATTTTATGTTTGAATTCACCTCCTCGCCACAACAACCCCATGGAGATGGTGCTTCCATCCCACAGGTGAGGAAACTAGGCAAAAAGAGGCTGAAAACCCAGCCCAAGCCACATGGCTACTTAGAAGAGGTAGGAAGAGAACCCAGGTAGTCTTAGAGCCCATCCTCTTAAAAACTCGGCTAGCATCAGAAATATACTTGGTATGACTTGATCACTGATTATATACAGAGAGATGCTGTATAATCCCCTCTATACATGCTAATAAAAACAGGATAGTTGAGAGGCACATCAGGGCAACCTTTTAAGTTCTACCAAAACATCTGTTTTGGCCTTGAGATTGTCATCAACCCTTCTCTTATGCTGATATACCATATAACCAATATTCTTAGTTTTAAACTATACGCTATTAAACTATTCTTTCTTGCAATAGATGAGATAAAAGTCTATTGAAGTCATCTGTTGTTCTTCACAATGAAGAACACAGGTAGGAAAAGGGAACAACAGAATACTCTGCTAAAGCATTATATTACATTTCTTCTCTTACCATTAATTTCTTGAAAGATAAATAAGGGCTTCCCTGGTGGCACAGTGGTTAAGAATCCAGGGTAATGCAGGGGACACGGGTTTGAACCCTGGTCTGGGAAGATCCCACATGCCCTGGAGCAACTAAGACCGTGTGCCACAACTACTGAGCCTGTGAGCCACAACTGCTGAGCCTGTGAGCCACAACTACTGAAGCCCATGCGCCTAGAGCCCGTGCTCCGCAACAAGACAAGCCACCGCAATGAGAAGCCTGTGCACTGCAACGAAGAGTAGCTCTTGCTCGCCACAACTAGAGAAAGCCCACATGCAGCAACGAAGACCCAATGCAGCCAAAAATAAAAAAATTGAAAGAAAAACGATAAATGAGTATTTAAATCATGTATATCTACCTTGAAATAATAATTATCCTTGACAACTTAAAGGATGACTTTTTGGCTTTCTTAGAACATTTTCTAAATCTAAACTGAGCTCTTTTGTTCATGTATTAAATTTAGAGAATTATCTGCAGCCGTAAAAATTAAGTTTAACGCTACACTCTTCCCTCCTCAGATATTCAGAATTTAAACACGATTTTTAAAATTAATTTATTCTGTTTATTTATTTTTGGCTGTGCTGGGTCTTTGTTGCTGCACACGGGCTTTTCTCTAGTTGCTGCGAGTGGGGGCTATTCTTCGTTGAGGTGCAAGTGCTTCTCATTGTGGTGGCTTCTCTTTCTTTTTTAAATTTACTTTTGGCTGTTTTGGGTCTTCATTGCTGCACGAGGGCTTTCTCTAGTTGTGGCGAGCGGGGGCTACTCTTCATGGCAGTGTACGGGCTTCTCATTGTGGTGGCTTCTCTTGTTGCAGAGCAGGGCTCTGGCGCGCAGGCTTCAGTAGTTGTGGCATGCGGGCTCAGTAGTTGTGGCACACAGGCTGTTGCTCCGCGGCATGTGGGATCTTCCCAGACCAGGGATCGAACCCATGTCCCCTGCATTGGCAGGTGGATTCTTAACCACTGCGCCACCAGGGAAGTCCCGTGGTGGCTTCTCTTGTTGCAGAGCACGGGCTCGAGGCACACAGGCTTCAGCAGTTGTGGCTCGCAGGCTCTAGAGCACAGGCTCAGTAGTTGTGATGCATAGGCTTAGTTGCTCTGTGACATGTGGGATCTTCCTGGACCCAGGCTCGAACCCGTGTCCCCTGCACTGGCAGGAGGATTCTTAACTACTGTGCCACCAGGGAAGTCCCTAAACACTATTTTTTAACTTTAAAAATTATTATTCATTTTTATCAGAAGTATATGATGATCCTAGTCTTCTGATATTCTGATAAGCTACAAAGATGAGCTGAGAGTTAGTAACACTTTTAAAGAACTACTATGGGGACTTCCCCAGTGGTCCAGCGGTAAAGAATCCCCCTTCCAATGCAAGGGATGTGGGTTCAATCCCTGGTCGGGGAACTAAGATAACACATGCCACAGGGCAACTAAGCCCATGTGCCTCAACTAGAGAGCCCGAGTGCCACAAACAACAGAGCCCACGTGCCCTGGAGCCCACGCGTCACAACTAGAGAGAGAAAACCCACATGCCACAACTAGAGAGAAGCCCACGCACTGCAATGAAAGGTCCCACGTGCTGCAACCAAGACCCGACGCAGCCAAAAAATTAAAAAATTAAAAAAAAAACCCAACTATATAAAGCTGAACAGACAATATAGTAATTTTTGGTATTAGTTATATATAGGCATTGATATTAACAGAATGAGAAAAATGCCCTATTAATAAATCAAACAAATCATAGCTTCATCTTATTACAGAGTATAATCAAATTTCCTCAAGTGTTACAAGGAAAACGTTTGTAATGAAAGCCTAAATTACAGCCAATTACACACAGCCTTAGAATTAAGATGGACTGATTAAATTTACCAACTACCCTCTGTGTGACCCTAGGAAATGGATGCCACTCCCCTGCATCTATCTCACTCAGGCGTTCAACGACATCTTCAACATTCACATGTAGACAGCAAGGGATGGTAGTCATACTATAAGGAACACTTAGAGGAATACTTTTCTCTGGAGATGAGGGGACAAATGATATAACCCATCATGGGTTTTGTAATTTAAAAAATATCTCACCTTACTCCATAATGGAGTTTTTGTGTATATCTCACTCAACAGTCAATTTTATGTCCACTGACAGACGAATGGATAAAGATGTGGTACACATATACAATGGAATACTACTCAGTCATAAAGAAGATCAAAATAATGCCATCTGCAACAACATGGATGGAACTACAGATTATCATACTAAGTGAAGTCAGAAAGAGAAAGACAAATACCATATTTGGTATTTGATGAAGTGGGAGTTTGTGGTTGGTAGATGCAAACTATTGTAAGTAGAATGGATAAACAACAAGGTCTTACTGGATAGCACAGGGAACTATATTCAATATTCAGTGATAAACCATAATGGAAAAGAACATAAAAAAAAGAAAGCAGGCTCCAAATTAGTATGGCTCCAGTTAAACTTGGCAAATGATACTAAAAATATTTAAAAATCATTTTTAAATTAAAAATACTGGAATTATGTATACTGTATACTATAATATTACTACTAGGTATCTCTGAGCAGAAAACAAAACCCAGTTCATTTTACTACTCAGCTAAGTTACCTAAATAAAATTTAACTTATGTTAAATAATTCCAAAACCTTTATGCTCGCACAAATCTGTATTACAAGAAGTCTATATGGGTTGGCCAATATTACAATATTTAAAGAAGCTTCATATTTTAACTGAGAGTAATATTTCATTACCTAGCTCCAAAACGTCTGAAGGATCAAGGTACACACTCTTACTGCAAAACTGATTCACCTTCTTTTCCAATACTGTTGCATCTTTTACTTGTGAATACTTCCGAACGTAGAAGTGGCAAGGATGTACTACGTGGCTTACAAAAACTAGCTCTGGAGAACCTGGATGAGAATATTTAAATCACATTAATAAGCCAAAATTCAGGCAAGAATTCACAGAAACTGAATGCAGTATCCTTTGAAAGAATGTGTCTTGTAGCACTGCAAACTCTAGAATACCTGGGCCCACAAAAGGTGACCCAAACCCCAAACAGTAACTAGACTGATAAAACAAACACATCCCACTTCCACAATGATTTCTTTAGCAACCTGAACTGCAAACCTTTTTTATTTGCAAAATATGTTAAATAAGTGGAATTGAAGTTCAAGTAGTTAGTTAGGTTCTAAAGTCAGAGTATATGCTGTAACTCTACTGTATTACAACAAAACTTCAGAATTTATTTATAAACATAATTGGAACTCAGAACCCCATTGATAACGATGTTTCTAATATAGAAACAAAATCCTGTTTAAACTATACTAAACTGAAAGAACTAATATAGCCACTTTGAATCTTAAATCAGGCTGGAGAAGTATGAAAAAAAGTCTGGGAAAGACAACATACTGAGCAGCATTTAGGGGGAGATATGTGTGTTTTGGTGGAAGTAAGGGTGGGGCAGAATAAAAGACAGTGAGAAACTTTTTGTATACAGCAGTAATTAAGCCAAGTGTTTCTACTGATATGAAAAGATCTCCAGAATATAATGTTAAGGAAGGAATTAAGGGGCTTCCCTGGCCGTCCAGGGGTTAAGACTCCACACTTCCACTGCAGGGGGCACAGGTTCGATCCCTGATTGGGGAATTAAGATCCCGCATGCCATGTGATGTGGCCAAAAACAAAAAAGGAAAAAAGAAAGGAATTAAAAAAACACTGCAGTGTATACGGCATGCTATGTTTTGTGTACAAAAACAACCAAAAATGAGAATTAGAAAAATAATATATGTGTATTTGTTCAAATATGAATAAAGAAACTGGAAGGGAGGAAGAGACAAATGGAATGGGAATAGGTTAGGGGAAAAGGTTCACAGGGTATTTTAATACATATATATTTAATTTTTGAACAATGTAGGTGTCCTAGTATATCTAGTAAAAATGCTTAAAGAACAAAGACTAGGAGGAACTGAAGTATAGATAGATGATAAAAACTGAACAAATAGATCATTTTACCTATCCAATACAGATCACACAGAATAATACCCATACTGAGGATGAGGTAAAGAGATAAGTATGTGTAGCTGGGGAGACAGCTGAGAGAAGTGTTATAAATTTCAGAAATATTTTTGCCAGTAATAGCCAGAACTTATAACAGTAAAAAGGAAGACATTTTAGGAATTCCCTGGAGGGCCAGTGGTTAGGACTCACGCTTCCACTGCTGTGGGCCTGGGTTTGATCCCTGGTCGGGGAACTAAGATCGCACAAGCCGTGCAGCATGGCAAAAATAAATAAATAACTAAGTTTTAGTTATTAGTAAAATTCATTTTACTCACTGCCTCCCTCTCCATAAGAGTTACTATGTATCAACTCTGCTGCATCAAGTTCAGAGTTGTTAACGTACCTGCTTTTGATCCAAAAGGAACAGATGATTTTTTCTGAAGAGGCTCTTTTGGATATCTAGGTGTCTCCACAAGATAATCTGTGAAGCATGCTTCGTCAAGAGAGAAAATAAAGGCAACTGTTACTAGTTTTATTACGCTGACAATGGCATACTTAACATACTGTTTAAAAAGCTGTACTTGAATGAGCAAAAGACTGGAAGGGCAAGACCCCCTTGTATCAGCAGGCAAAGTCCTGATAGTTCTCTTAACTCACTGAGATAATCCGTGATAATAATATTGTGGAAATGAGAGAAAACAGCATGTCCTTTTTTTTTGTATTCAAAATACCATTCTGGAAACTCAGTCAATGAAACAGACTGGGAGCAGAGGGGAGGAGAAAACCAAAGATCTTGAAAATGGTCCTAAAGAAGACTGACAATGTAACTACACACAGTAGTATCTCACCCTGATGTTGGTGGGGTGAACACCAACGTTGGAAATCTAATCAAACAATTATGATACATTTAAATGTTAACAAACATTATTAACAGATGCTACTACATTCATGCTAGTTCATTTTACAAAGGACTGTATCTCAGAACAAAGATTTAAGATATGCTGTTCTTAAATTTAAGAACAAAGTCATCAGACTGCTTCTAATATGGTTGTCATTTATTTATAGTATTTTCATCTTTTATAGAGAATTGTATGTGGAACACTAAAAAGTCAAACACCCTAATTAAACCAAATATTAGAGTTTAGCTATATTATTGCATTAAAAATTATCCTAACTTTGGAAAATGTGAAAGTAGGGGCATGGAATCAACAGACTAACTCAGAATGAGGTGTAAGATAATAGCAATATGTTTGTTAAGTACAGGGACAAAAAGGTACTAACTTCGTTTCTAATTCCAGACACAATATATTGTTTCCTTGCTTTTCTATTTTCACTCACTTTCCAGGTCTTCTTCGATGACTTCTTCGATGATCACATCAGGGCTCGGTCCCGCCTGAGGCAGAGCAGCAAGGGTTTCACAGGGGGTTACTGCAACAACCTCGCTCTGTGGCGGGAAGTGTTTTGCTTCTAAGTGCGTATCACTGCTTTCCCGTTGCAAAGGAGTTGGTGGGGGGGCTTCACTAGTTTGGATAGAAACGTCAACCTTTTTCTTTTCTAGTGATGGGTATGTACCACTACAAGAAAATTCCTTTTTATGATTATATTTCTTTTGAACATTCTGTCCCATTTCACTTTCTTGAGGATCACATCTGTTTAAAAATACAGAGGCTACTTTAAATCATTTCATAATATTTTTTATAACCACCTTAAAACCATTTCCTTTCCATATGACAGTACTGTGACACATACAAAGAATTAAAGTTGTATAGGTGTCCCACAGGTATTTTTTTAAACAGCTGTATTGTTATAATTTACACACTATAAAATCCAATTAATTTTTACTAAATTTAGAGTCAGGTAACCATCACCACAATCTAATTTTAGAACATTTCCATTATCCCGAAACTTCTGCCCACTCCCAAGCAAGCTCAAGGGTTTTAAAAGGTCAACAAGAGGTAAAATCAATGAGAACCTGAAGAAAGAACTTGATATACAGTCATATCACAATGATCTGATCCTAAAAGGACAGTGGATATAGGTTTTCAGTTTCAATTATCCAAATTTTAATTTGGCTTAGGTGTTTGATTTTAAACTATGCTAAGATTATTTCTTCTTTTAATTCACTGGCTTAAAAATAAAGTGTAGGAAGCAGTGAGAGGTACAATCCTGAGAAAATTACTAGAAACCTCCATCTAGGATAAAAATCACCATCAGTCTGAATCCTCTGGGTATGATTATTCAATAGCCACTATTCTACAAATTTTTCTATATTCTTCATAAATCCACACAGATATGGGCTGTCAAATCTAAAAGTATAGATATTCTATCAAAAAAATGAGATTCCCACAAGCTTTAATTTTCGTTAATCCATGACACATTTAGCTTCCTCACAGATCACCATTTAAGAAGCCAAATGAGGACGTCCCTGGTGGCGCAGTGGTTAAGAATCTGCCTGCCAATGCAGGGGAGACAGGTTCGAGCCCTGGTCCGGGAAGATCCCACAGCCAAGGAGCAACTAAGCCCATGAGCCACCATTATTGAAGTCTGCATGCATAGAGCCCGTGCTCCACAACAAGAGAAGCCACCGCAACGAGAAGCCCACACACTGCAACAAAGAGTAGCCCCCACTCGCCGCAACTAGAGAAAGCCCACGTGCAGCAATGAAGACCCAACGCAGCCAAACATAAATAATAAATTTGGGGAAAAAAAAAGCCAAATGAAATCAGAAATAAGAACCTAAAAAGCCAACTGGATTCAGCAGACCTAACTTACCCATCTCTTAATACACACTGACTAAAGGTCCAAACACCTTCTGAGGATTCATATAGGTTGACAACTCTGTAATCTAAAACATTTCTTTTTACAGTAACTCTTGTCTGGCTTTACTGAGACATTTAATGCCGCCAACCAACCTGTCTCACAGACTTCTCCTCTTACTTGTAGAACACCACTCTCTCCTACCCCTTCTTGGTTTTGTTTTGTTTTTTTGCAGATTACCTTTTCCCTGTCTTAAAATTTAATATTTTTTCCAGGGCACTGTCCTTGACGCACTTCAATACTTGCTCTCACCGGGCAAACCCATTCTTTAATTACCACCCATCATCAGTAGAGGAAGGCTACAGTGATACTTTCCCTAAAAACTAGGAAAAAGTTTAAAAGACTTCTGAGTTAAATTTAAAACCAAGGCAAGATCAATACAGACTCTTAAAGAGACAAAATACCCTTTGGTATTAAAAATATTTGATAGTAACCATATTCAAGTTATGAAAATATCTAGAAGAACGTACTGACTGGAAAGGATGATCATCCACGAAAGTGCAAAAAGTCAAGTCACAGAGGCAAATAGAGGCCAGGGCTCCACATGTGGGGAAGATGAGCTGAGCGAAAGGACTGTACTTGAGGCCTCTGGCAAGGTCTTCCCTGGGGGGAAAGGAATGTAGCGGGCTGTCCAGGACCAACACTGTTCAGCTATTCAATAAACCTTATTCCCTTTATTTGGAAAACACCTCAAACAAAGCAACTTCTGATGATTTGGCTTCTTGTGTCTGTCTGGATATTGGAAAGGAATGCCAACATAAGTATTCTAGTCCCTGTGTCAATTATATTTGCCCCTTAAGTTAATAAACTGGCATTCTGACTATAAGTCAGTTTTCTGAACTTGGCTTACATGAGTTTACCTGGCTTAGAGTAAGATCTGCTCATGTCTGTTTCTGAGCTTGTAAGGCTGTGGGCTGGACCTCATTATTTCCTCAGAATAATGAACGTGATGCTTGTTGGGGAACGATTTCCTTAGGAGTCATACCACCTACAACTGAATAAACTTATTTTCTTTTGGGGGTTTCTAAACCATTTACATTCTGACTACTCCTAAACCAAGAATGAAATTCAGAACCTCCTGTTAAGTTTCAGCACATACAGCTCACTTTCCTCTGGACATTTCTCCTGAGATACCTAGTAAACAACAGTAACTCAACATATCCCACTATCTTCGCCCTCCCAACTTCTTTTCTTCCTGTATTTCCAAACTTGGTGAATAATACCACAATACATCACCAAATATAGACCTATAAATCACTGAGGATGCTTCCCTTTTCCTCATTGCCCACACCCAAACAGTTACTAAGTTACACCACTTTTCCCTATTCAGCATTTGTCATTATCTGTTCCTCTCTAGTGCTACTACCTACATTTGGTTTCTCATCATTTGCTGAGACTATTTATATAACAGCCTAACCCATCCTTCAGCCTCCGGCCTCATATTCTTCCAAAGAACCCTCTATGGTCACTAGAGTTATCTTCTACAAATATAACCTAATTATTTTTACTTTCATGCTAAAAATCTTTTAGTGGCTTTCTATTATTTACAGCTGTGCTGTCCAACAGAACCTTCTGCAATAATGGAATTGTGCTGCACTATCTGACAGCCACTAACCAAATATGGCTACTGAGCACCTGAAATGGGGCTACTGCAAACAAAGAACTGAATTTTTCATTTTATTTAGTTTTAACTAATTTATGCTTAAATTTAAATGACCACATGTGGTTAGCAGCTACCATATTGGATAGCACAGGTCTAAGAAATAAAGTCCAAATACCACTACACAACAAAGTCTTTAGGATTCAGCCTCTAGGTATCCTCTGCCGTATGGAATTATACATGCAGGTCCCTGAATGTAGTATGTGATCTCACTACCCATACAGTTCTTTCTGCAAAGATGCCTGCCTCCCTTTTGTCCTCCTTTCCAACTGCTACTCATTTTTCATGGATGAGGGAAAATAAAATCTCCTCTTTCCAAGACCCGTTACATCTCAAAGACTGATCATTCCTTCCTTTGCATCTCCATTAAATTCTGCACAAACTACTATCACAGCAATTATATACTTTATTATTTATGTGTATCACTGTCTACTTAGTTTAACTTCTCTGCATAAATCTCAGTATCTAGGGTGTTAGTGCCTAGCACAACATCAGTGTTCAATGCTAGCTGAATGAATGAATCTCAAAGATGACTTGGAGGACTTCCTTGGTGGCACAGTGGTTAAGAATCCGCCTGCCGGGCTTCCCTGGTGGCGCAGGGGTTAAGAGTCTGCCTGCCGATGCAGGGGACACGGGTTCGTGCCCCGGTCCGGGAAGATCCCACATGCCACGGAGCGGCTGGGCCCGTGAGCCATGGCCGCTGAGCCTGCGCGTCCGGAGCCTGTGCTCTGCAACGGGAGAGGCCACAACAGTGAGAGGCCCGCGTACAGCAAAAAAAAAAAAAAAAAAAAACAACCCCCCTGCCAATGCAGGGGACACAGGTTCGACCCCTGGTCCGGGAAGATCCCACATGCCGCGGAGCAACTAAGCCTGGGCACCACAACTACTGAGCCTGCACTCTAGAGACCATGAGCCACAACTACTGAGTCCACATGCTGCAACTACTGAACCCATGCGCCTAGAGCCTGTGCTCCGTGACAATAGAAGTAACTGCAGTGAGAAGCCCGCGCACCGCAACAAAGAGTAGCCCCCGCTCGCCGCAACTAGAGAAAGCCCACGCACAGCAACGAAGACCCAACACAGCCAAAAATAAATAAATAAATAAATAAATTTATGAAAAAAAGGATGACTCTAACATATATTATTGAACACTGACCCCTTCTAGGTCTTTTAATTCTTAAATATTTTATGTGGAATTTAACTGATAGTAACCATTTTGCCCTTTATATTATTTTTCAAGTTTTGAATCATAAATATTACACTGAACATCAATTTTTCTGTCTCAAATAATACTTCTGTCCCTTACACCATGTCAGACACTAATAGCATATTGCCATTCTCATACTCACTTTGTTGAATCCTCAAATTCAATCTTTCCCATACTGTTGAACATACAGATGATCTCACTGCAATTCATATTCAACCTAAAATTAAATACTTAGCATAAAAAATGTTCTAATACAAGTTTATTACTTTCCCTAATAAAAATTAGTTGCTAACATGAAAAACTCTGAAAGACAAAACATTTAAATAACTTTCTAATTTATCACAAATTACACTTATTTTAATTTGGTTGCTAATTTGGGAAACATTTTTTGACCCAAAATTTCAATTTATAACTGCTTATTTTAATAAATCTAGCCTAATACATTTTTATATTTAATTACCACGCTCTCCTGAATTATAACTTACTTACTTGGGAGAGTTCCTTAGTTTTAGAGAGCTGACTTGTGACAATTCACTCTCAAATGTTAATTTCAAAGTCCAGATAATCTAAAATCAAAAGAGAAGTATCACTCATGCGCATTTTGCTTTGTTATAAATACCGTTGAAACAGAGTAAGATTTTAGAAAAAAAACTATACCCTTTAGGTATTTTCACTAATTAATGTGCTCAGGGTTTGATTTTAGGCAAGAAAAGGGAAGGATGCAAATAAGAGTTTATGAATTTTTCCCCAAAAGAAATTTAAAATCTTTTGAAGATATGTATTAACAGATAACAAAAGGCACTAGTTAATAAATGCGATACAGCTACATGATCAGGGAAAATTCTGATCAGATTCATTCTGCACCTGCACTGCTGTCCTCAAACGTTTCTCTCCCCCCCCAGCCCCATCTTCCTAATGCAGCTAACTAGGGTAAAGACCAAATTTTACTTTTTTTCACCTCCTAATGCCTCACATGTAATACACAGGAACTATTACTATTCTTAGAACTACAGCTGGAGGGAGGCCTGGCCAAGTGAGATGGTGGCAAACTCTTCTCCTTCAAAGTTCAAGACTCTGCAGGCAGGTAAACCAATGGCTTCTATTTTATACTTCAGTTTAATCCAAATATCTGATCATCTATGGGTAATGAGGCCCTGAAGATTCAAAGACAACAGAGTAGGATCTACACCCCAAGGGCGCAAGACAAATCAGCCAAGAGGATCAATGGTTAACCCCATCCTGCCAAACGATCTCGTAAGAAACATGTTTCTACTGCTGCCTAATTCTAGGCACATGATTAGATGACAGGGCAGAGTTGAATCACCTTGTCTCCTGAGGTGCACAGCTCGGGGCTGGGAGAAAAACCTAAATGGCATCTTGATAAGTTTCTAAGTCAAGAGTTGACAGTCATACCTAACTGTTTATAAAAAGAAAATAGTCCTATTTACTTTGCTACTCTTACTTGTCCTCATTTTTTATTCAACTGACCTAGAAACAACTTTCGACTCCAAGTCATCCTACTTGTTCTCAGACTGTGTGTTATAAAGACTTTACTGCACCATTTCCCTAAGTGGTAAATATAATAAAAGGCCAAACAAGTTTATTAATGTTTATCTTAGAATTCAAACACCTAAGAATTCTAAATTGATGCCAATACAAATTAGGATAATCTGAAAAATAAATTCTTCTTGTTAAGTCTTAAATATTATATTCCAAAGTAGGTAATATAAGTCACCACAGAAATAATTCACATTATGAACTGTTAAAACTACCTGATTGAGGTCACAGTATATTCTTAGAGAAGGTGTGGATTTTAATTCTCTTGCTATCTTCATAGCTGCATCCAAATCATTTTTTTTCACTTCAATGTATCTTTTAGCCGTTATTATATTTGATAAGTAATCATCCGTATTTCTTACTACCTCTTCACACAGGTTCTTTTTCCTTCATTTAAGATAAAGTTATTTTTCAGTATTTCATAAACATTTTTATGAAAGTAAATTTAAAGTAACTCAACAGTATTGGGAAGGTAAATTCACTACTTTATGAACTAAAATAACATGGTTAGTGAGGCATTCAATTGAACTGAAATCTATTACAGTTTTTAAATAATTAATTAATTAATTTTTGGCTGCATTGGGTCTTCGTTGCTGTGCGCGGGCTTTCTCTAGTTGTGGTGAGCGGGGGCTACTCTTCGTTGCAGTGCACAGGCTTCTCATTGTGGTGGCTTCTCTTGTTGCGGAGCACGGGCTCTAGGTGGACAGGCTTCAGTAGTTGTGGCTCATGGGCTCCAGAGTGCAGCCTCAGTAGTTGTGGCGCACGGGCTTAGTTGCTCTGCGGCATGTGGGATCTCACGGACCAGGGCTCGAACCCGTGTCCCCTGCATTGGCTGGCGGATTTTTAACCACTGTATCACCAGGGAAGCCCTGAAATCTATTATAGTTGAAAGCTACGTACGTATAAATAGAAAAAAGGTAAATTTTGTAGAAGGATACAGTTATCATGTCACAGATACAGCTGTCACAGAACCGCAGAGGCATGACAGACACTAGACGATTCTATCACTTTTAAAAGAAAGAAAGAAAAATCCTGGCTATCTTGCTTGCAGTCACTTGTGCCATTACAAAGACATATCTGTACTCATTTCTCACAAGGACCTACCTAGACATTTTAGAATTTCATAAGCAGATACATATTAACACGAATTTAAAATGAGACTTCAGGACTTCCCTGGTGGCGCAGTGGTTGAGAGTCCGCCTGCCGATGCAGAGGACACGGGTTCGTGCCCTGGTCCGGGAAGATCCTGCATGCCGCGGAGCGGCTAGGCCCGTGAGCCATGGCTGCTAAGCCTGCGCATCCGGAGCCTGTGCTCCGCAACGGGAGAGGCCACAACAGTGAGAGGCCCGCGTACCGCAAAAAAATAAAAATAAAAAAGAATCCGCCTGCCAACGCAGGGGACCTGGTTTCGATCCCTGGTCTGGGAAGATCCCACATGCCACAGCGCAACTAAGCCCGTGCGCCACAACTACTGAGCCTCTGCACCTAGAGCCCATGCTCCACAACAAGAGAAGCCACCACAATTAGAAGCCCGTGCACCGCAATGAACAGTAGCCCCTGCTCACCACAACTGGAGAACGCCCGTGCGGAACAATGAAGACCCAACACAGCCAAAAATTAAAAATAAATAAATTTATATAAAAAATGAGACTTAGGTAGCCATTAACTATAATCCCAAACTTAGGTAGCGATTAACTATACCCAAACTTAGGTAGCGATTAACTGTAATCTTCAAAGTAATCACTTACGAAGCTTACAGAGTTATTTCATTATTTGTGCCTCATTTCTCAAAGTTTTCTGTCTACAGTGGAATTAATTATTATGGAAATTAAGATATTTTGACCAAAAATTATAGTGTCTAACTTGCTTATTCATCAATTAAATAAAACGATTTCCTCAAAATCAAATCTGGCCTCAAAAAAGGAGAGTTTGCCATACTGAAGAGTAATAAGAATGCGACAAGGCTCTGAAGGTGAAAAAGTATTCCAAAAAACTTTTAGTAATTATATACACACTTTATGCAAATCATTGTTTTAGGGGATAAGTGGTCACTCTGGTAAGTTCCAGATGATTCCTAAAAAAATCATGCCCAGGGAGTGATGTCAGCAAAATGGCAGACTAGGAAACCCTAAGCCCTAGTTCCCCAATGGAGATTTCAAATGAGAGCAAAAGACTGGTTAAAACAATCTTACAGGACTCTGGGAAGTGGACAAAGGTATACAGCAATGAAGCAAATGTGCAACTGAGAGAAACCCACAGTCAAATCAGTAGGAAATTTCATTTCTTGACCTCGCCCAGACCCCTGCTCAGCGTGGTGCAGTCCTGGTCTGGAGCCAGCAGCGCAGTTCCCAACGCTTTCCCTCCGAAGGGGCCGCAGCAAACCTTATTCGCAACGTCCTCATTTGTCTGAGGGCTGCCTGAAGAGCTGTTTTACCTAATGTGGAACTCAGGCAGCAAGAGAAAGTGGGCTGGGAAGGCTGCAGAGAGACTAACAGCTACAGGTGCTATGGCAACAGAGACCACAGATACAGAGACACAACAGCCCGCCTGAGGCTCAAAGGAGAAGCTGGGGTGAGATGCTTTAGGAAATTAAGACATTGTAAAGAGCTAAGAATACAAAGGAGTCAAACAAGCCACACTCATGCAAGATACATGTTCAGAGAAGACCTCAAAGTACCTTAAGCCTTCACCCAGGCTGATCCAAAAACTCAGCTGCACAGGCAAACAGTGTGCAAAGACTGGGAGAGGTGGCTGTTTTTGCAAATGCCCAATTCTCTTTTTCAAAACTTAATTTTAACTTAAAAAATTTTATTTTAAAAAACTGAGGTATGTTGACATATGACATTGTGCTAATTTCAGTGTATAGCATTATGAACTGATAATTGCATATACTGCAAAATGTCCAGCTGCCATCCACCACCATAGTTACAGAGTTCTCTCTTGTGACAAGGACGTTCAAGACCTGCTCTCTTGGTGGCTCTCAAATACGTGACACCATGCTAGTAACTGTGGCCACACGCTCTGCGCCGCACCCTCATGACACACTTATTTTGTAACTGGGAGGCGGCACCTCCTGCGTCCTTTCACCCCCCTCGCCCACCCCTGTCTCCACCTCTAGCAGCCACCAATCTGTTCTCCGCATCTAGGGCCTGACAGGATTCCCTTCTTTTTAATGGCTGTGTGACATTCCATGGCATACAAAGACATCTGTGTGTGTGTGTGTGTGTGTGTGTGTGTGTGTGTACACACACCCACACACCCCACATCTTCTTTAAACACTCATCCATTGATGGACTCTTAGGTTGTTTCCTTATCTTGGCTATTGTAAAAAATGCTGCATTGATCACAGGGGTGCATATATCTTTTTGAATTAGCATGTTTATTTTCTTCGAATAAATACCCAGAATTAGAATTAGTGGATTCTCAATTTTTTGAAGAACCTCCATATGTTTTCCACAGTGGCTGCACCAATTTACATACTCAACAACAATACACAAGGGTTTGCATTTCTCCACATCTTTGCTACCATTTGTTATATCCTGTATTTTCAAGAATAGCCATACTAACAGATATGAGATGATATCTCATTGTGGTTTTCATTTGCATTTTCCTGATCATTAGTGACGTTCAGCACCTTTTTAGGTACCCATTGGCCAGGTGTATGTATTCGTTGGAAAAATGTCTATTCAGTCCCTCTGTCCATTTTTAAATCAGATCATTCGGGGTTTTTTGCAAAAGGGAATCCTTCAGGTTAAAATGAAAGATCAACATCTCTGGAGAAGGTAAATACATGGGCAAATACAAAATGTATTATTATTGTAATTTTGGTTTATGACTCCTCTGTATTTTCCACAGCATTTAAAGAACAAATACATAAAATGACTATAAAGCTATGTCAATGGATACACAATGTATAAAGATGCAACTGTGACAACAAAACATAAAGAAGGGGTGGAAATGTAGAGGTTTTGTATGCAATTCAGTTGTCCTGGCTTCAATTCAAAATAGATGTGAGGATGTTATTTGTAATGCCCATGATAACCACACAAAAAACTAACTATAGAATATGCAAAAAAGAAATGAGAAGGGAATCAAAATGTGTCACCACCAAAAAAAAATCAAATAAACAGAAAAGAAGGTAGTAACAGAGAAAATGAATGACAAAAAAAGCTACTAGACATATATAGAAGCCCACACACCACAAAGAATAAGCTCTGCTCACCGCAACTAGAGAAAGCCCACGTGCAGCAACGAAGCCCCAACACAGCCAAAAATAAAAATAAAAAAATTTTAAAAGGCAAAGAGTGGAAGTGAGTTTTTTTTTTTTTTAATTTATTTTCGTCTGCGTTGGTTCTTCATTGTGGTACATGGACTTTCTCTAGTTGTGGTGAGTGGGGGCTACTCTTCGTTGTGGTGCACGGGCTTCTCTTGTTGCAGAGCACGGGCTCTAGGGGCCTGGGCTTCAGTATCTGCAGTACGCAGGCTCAGCAGTTGTGGCTCATGGGCTCTAGAGCACAGGCTCAGTAGCTGTGGTATATGGGCTTAGCTGCTCCACACCATGTGGGATCCTCCCGGACCAGGGCTCGAACCAGTGTCTCCTGCATTGGCAGGTGGATTCTTAACCACTGCACCATCAGAGAAGCCTGAGTTTTTTTTTTTTAATGACAGCATATAGTTAGGTCTATAAGAGAGTCATTTTAGATCTAAAGACAAAGATAGGTTGAAAGTGAATGGATGGAAAGAGATATTCTATGCAAATAGTAACCAAAAGAGAGCTAGCGTGGCTATGCTAATTTCAGGCAAAATAGACACTAAGTCAAAAACTGTTACAAGACAAAGAAGGACATTATAGACTGATAAAAGGGTCAATTCACCAATAAAATAAAACAATTATAAATACATATGTACCAAACATCAGAGGCTCAAAATATATGATGCAAACATTGATGTAATAAAGGAGAAAGAGAGAGCTCTGTAAGTATAGGTGGAGACTTCAATATCCTACACTTCCTATTGTAGACAGAAAAACCACACAGAGTATCAGTAAGGAAACAGACTACTTAACATTGTAGACCAACTGGACCTAACATACAAACACTCCACCCAGGGCTTCCCTGGTGGAGCAGTGGTTGAGAGTCCACCTGCCGATGCAGGGGACGCAGGTTCATGCCCTGGTCCGGGAAGATCCCACATGCCACGGAGTGGCTGGGCCCGTGAGCTACGGCCACTGAGCCTGCGCGTCGGAGCCTGTGCTCTGCAACGGGAGAGGCCACAACAGTGAGAGGCCCGCGTACTGCCAAAAAAAAAACAAAAAAACAAAAAACCACTCCATCCAATGACAGACAATACACATCTTCCTCAAGCATACATGGAGCACTCTCCATGTT